AATATTTTGTGATGCTGGCTGATAGTTTGAAGTCAGATATTGTGGTTGAATAGTTGAGTTATTAGGCATTAGATTGTAGTCTACATTTTGTGGTAGATAAACTGGTGGCTTTTCAAAAGAGTCACATGATTGCTTTGTATGATCTGCTTGATTACCTTGCTCTGGCTTTGCTCTCAATGCAGGTTTTGGAAATTCAGATTTTACAGGAGGTTGAATTGTTACAGGAGAAGTAGGATGAGTCTCTATAGCAACCTCAAAAACACAACAATACTTTCTACACCACTCTCAAAAATAATTTTTTTTTGAAAAAAAATCATTTTCATTTACCTCTGTGTTAACCTCATGCTCCTTTGTATCATTTTTTTGAATTACTGAAGGCATCATAGAATGCCCCATCTTAGACATTCGCTCTAAAAGTTTTGACTTCGTTGATCCTGTACTCTAAATTTAAAGATTATCATTATTATTGCAAAAAAAAAAATCTAGAATTATAATATTCTGAAATTCAAAATAAATTTATCATATATTACCATAAATATATATTTATAAATATATGTAAATATTTTTACGCACTTAGCCTAGTATGAAACATCACTGATGAAATCATACCATCTGTGGGGGAGTAAACCAAAAAAGTATATGACTTTTTAATATGAAACCTTCATATGAAAGACAATTATCACACCAAAATAATTTTTTTTTATTTCATTCTTTTTTTTATCTTTCAAAGAAAAAACTACTTGAATTATAGTTGGCATTTTAAAACTAAATATGTGCAAAATATATGAGGGAAATACACCTACATCTAAATTTTTTGATATTTTCATGTTTTTATTTATTATAATGTCATCAGTAATTCTTTCATCCATTAGCTTTGTTTTTTGCAAAACAAAAGAAGAAAACAACAAAAAATTAAATAATTTATACTATTACCTCGTCTTTTAGTTTATTTATGTGATCATTAATTGACTTAGCTCTATCTCTAAAACTATCCGCCTCAGAAGATCCTTCTTCATAACTTCCAAGCAAATTACTATTTAGTATAATTACAGGTTCAGATTTATTTTCATTATTCACCGACAAATCTGATACTGCAGTTACTTCTATTGAAGTAGTTGCAAATTTAACCTAAATTAAAATTCAATAACTGTAATTGTAATAAAATATAATTCCTGTAATAACTAAAATATGACATTCTTTATCATATTCTTCTAACTATTTTTTTTTTTTTTTAATTTATGTTAGAAAAAAATTTAAAAACTTATTTTATCAGAATATACATTTTGTAAAACATATTATAAAAGATACATACAAATATATAAATAATAATGCATTTATGTATATATGATAAACATACAAAATAGTTATTGCACAAAAAAAAAAATTTGATGCAAAACTTTAAGAAACATAAGTTTTATTACTGTACTCAATAATTCTCTACAAAACAAACACTCTACCACTCTGTCACTACTGCATTTTGTATACGCTGTGTATGTCTTGGTGTATATGCTGTATATGTCTTGGTGTATATGTTGTGTATGTCTTGGTGTATATGCTGTATATATGCATGGTGTACATGCTGTGTATGTCTAGGTGTATATGCTCTGTATATCTTGGTTTATATGCTATACAAGTTAGAGAAAGTGTTCATGGCTAGTGTGTTAATAATACAAGTATTATTTGGAAAGATCTAAGCTAGTTTATTGTATTAAAAATCTTAAGCTTGTTCATTGCTTAATTAAACTTTTCTTTTTTATTATAAGCTTTTATTAGTTTCAAGTTATATTAATTATAACTACTATGAACTTTTATTAATATTCTAAACAACTAATTTCTTATAATTCAAAATTGTTGTTAGTTTTTTAAAATGAAAATAGCAACAAAAAAATTTAAAATAAGATCTTTGAGCACTGTATATATATATATATATATATATATATATATTATATATATATATATATATATATATATATATATATATATATATATATATATATATATATATATATATATATATATACAGTACAATATATGTATGTATGTATGTATGTATGTATGTATGTATGTATGTATGTATGTATGTATGTATGTGTGTATGTATGTATGTGTTGTATGTTTAAGATAATTGTAGCAGTTTTCAATAGGGTTGAGGTTGTGTGAACAGGCCAGGGACCAATTGGTTACAAGCTTTCCTTGATGTGTTCAAAAGTGGCTATTTATTGTAGTGGTAGAATGAAAAATCCATAAGTCATCAATGTGATTGGCAGTAATGGCACCCCATATGATTTTGAAGCAATATTTTACATCCAAAAACAAATATTGGGGGTTGTATTTTTGGAAAAGGTAGGTGTATAACATATGTAAAGAGACAACAAAATTGTTACATTAATAAATTGTTGCTAAATATTACATCCTCCCAATTTTCTGCTGATCACTCTTTGTGTTTCCAACAAAAAGCAATATGGTCTTTAATATTTTTTTTGAGAAGGTTTTTTTGCCAGAACATAGCTCTTTAATTGAAATTGTTTGCACAAACCTCCTTTAATTGTCACAATACTTTGTCACAACACTTGGTGCATATCAATGGGTGTATTTTCATTTACATAACTTTAAATTTACATAAGTTACATATTTACATATCTGTATATAAATTTTTTGTATTTTGTTATTAGAAAAGTGCTCAAAAATATTTTCTCGCCTTTTTCAATGGACGATGTCAGCTTTGTATCTACACGCATGAATGAGCATTAGCAGTAAGTTCCTTATTACAAAACAAAATCTTTGACTTTCTTTATGAAAACTATTATAAATAATTAAAAAAAGAATCTTACTCTAGTAACTTCTACTTGAAATATTAATGTTGCATTTTTTGGAACTTGTTCACCAACCCCCTGTCATAGTAAATAGGTAATTTAATAAATAAAAACTTAACATAAGTTAATTCAAAAAAGTAGCATATTTTAAAAATAGACAAAAATGTTACCTGAAGACCGTAACCAAGATCTGGGGGAACAACTAACAATCTTTTTGAAAGTTTCTTCATCCCAATCACACCTTGTTCCCAACCCTCAAAACAATAGAACAAAAAAAAACTTTCACAACTCCAAAATAAAAGTAGCAAACTTAATACTAAAGATGAGATGCTACATTATAAGAAATAAGGAAATTATAAATATAATAATAAAAAAAATAAATAAAACCTTTATAACTTTTCCTTTACCAACTTTAAATACAAAATACTTCCCAGAGTCTTTATTGCTATCAAATATCTATAAAATATATTTCAAGAGAATTATCAAAAAATACCATATTACGATTAAAATTTTTTGTTTGTTGTTTTTGTTGTTTGTTGTTTTGTTGTTTGTTGTTTGTTGTTTTGTTTGAAAATAGATAAAATAAAATAATTAAGTGAAATATTTAGATGAAAAAATATAAATTAGAATAATTAGAACAAAATGTTAGTTAGATTAGATAAAAAATTATAGTAACACAAATATCCAACTTACATACATTTTTAAGCCTTTTTTTTTCTTTTAAACATATATTTACCCTCATGGATGTTAAAAAACAATAAAAAACTACACTTTACAACTTAGAAAGAAATTTAAACCCCTTAAAAGATAATATTTCAAAAAAAATTTGAAAAACTTTGCTTAATATGTTGATTTGACTTTTGATTTGCAAAATAATCAAAAATAATAAATTTAAAAAAATTTAAAAAACCAAACTCCAATACATAATTAAATATTGTCTCTTTCTTCAACATGTACACGTATAAACATTTCTTATTTGAAAACCCTACACAGCGTAAGTTTCCAGTTCTTATTTATTTATTCATTTAATGTTTATTTAACAATTTAAAATACAATGGCAGAGGAATTGATATGGTACGGTTAAAATCCACACATTAAAATGATTAAAAAGGAATTAGAATAACAATTATTTTCCTCAAAATTAAAATGCAAATAGTTTATTTGAGCTAAATAATAGAAGCTTGAAATATGTAACCATATACTTGATATACATTCTCTTACTGAAAGTTGTGAATAGGATAAAGCAAAAACTATATGGATTTTTCTTGTTATGAGATTGAAACCAAATGATTCATTAACTTTCAGAACTCTCGATACAGAATGCAATCCTTTTTTTAATTTTTAGTTTAAGATTTTCAGACATTTCAATTTAATTGTTCAACTTTAACAACATTATTTGTAAAAAAATCAATAAGAATATTTTGATTAAAAACACAGAGAAAGTAACATATTTAAACATTAAGATGATTAAATAATGTAAAATCTTTCTTAATGATTCTGCAGCAAAGTTTTTATAACATCCATTTATTTTATTTGTAGAGGTGTTTTAGGAAGATGAAGTTGAACCAAATATAAATAATATTCCATTATTATTTATGATTGATAAACATTTAAACTTTATATGTTGCACAATATTTAACAACAATGCAAACCATTATAGATCAATATTTTTAACAGTAAATATTATTTAGTAGATGATTTAAGCAATTCCCATTGTTAGACATTCAAATCACTCCAGCTTCCGTTACTAAAGTCATATCTCAATTAAACTCCTCGATGACTTGTGGTCCAGACAACATTCCTGCCATATTCTTACAACAAAATTGTTCTCCTGAACTCTCTTCAATTCTCTCTAAACTATTTAATAAGTGCTTGACTGAATCTTGTTTTCCTGCCTGCTGGAAAATGGCATCTGTTGTTCCAATTTTCAAAAACTCCAGTGAGCATTCTGACCCTACAATTATTTTCCAATTAGTCTTCTTTCTGTTATTAGCAAGATCTTTGAGTCTTTGATAAAGAAATCTCTCACATCCCATCTTGAGTCAAATAAATTATTGTTTGACAATCAATACAGTTTTCAATTTCGTTCTACGGCTGAGTTGTTAACTGCTGTGACTGAAAGATTTTATCATGCATTAGATGGAGGAGGGCAGACTAGGGCTATTGCTCTTAACATATTTAAGGCTTTCTACAAAGTTTGGCATGCTGGTCTTCTCCATAAGCTTGTTTTAAATCGTTTCTTTCTAACCGCTTTATATAAAGTCATCCTCAAAGCCCAACAGTCTTCTTTATTTCCAGTAACTTCTGGGGTAGTAAAAGTAGCTCTTTTTGCAGATGATTTGACAAAAATGCTTCTCTTTTTGATTGCTTAGAACAGGCAACCAATCTTGAATCTGATCTAAATTCTGTAACAGATTGGGGCTGACAGTGGCTTGTAAAAATTCAACTCCAACAAAACTCAGTTATTTACTGCAAACAACTCATCATTGTCGACATTCCTATATTAATTCATAGCAACTCTCTGGATTATCGTTTATTACTGACTTTTCATGGAAACCATATATATGATCGATTGCTAAGTTAGCATCCGCTTAGGTTATTGTGTTCACCACATTCTTACTCTTTATTCTATTCTCTACCTCTACAAATATCTTATTTGTCCCTGTATGAAATATTGTTGTCATATTTGGTCTGGTTCTTCTAATGATGTTCTTTCTCTTCTAGACAAGGTCCAAAAACGCATTGAAAATGTAGTTGGACCCGCATTATCTGCTAAGCTTGAGCCTCTTTCCCATCATTGTAAAGTTGCATCTCTTTCTCTTTTCCACAAATACTATCATGGTTGCTGCTCAAAGGAGCTATCATCTCTAGTTCCATCAATTAAAAATTAAAAAAACTCATTCTTGCTTTACTCATCATTTAGCAAAGTTTCATTCTTTTACTGTATCTGTCTCTGCAATCACTAAAAACTTTTATTCGTCTAGTGTTTTTTCAATGCACTTCAACCCTTTGTAACTCTCTCCAATCTTCTTGTTTTCCTGACTCATACAACTTTAAATTTTTTATAGTAACTCCCAACTTAATAGTGGTTGCTTGCAGCCTTGTTAGGAGTGACCAAGAATAAAAAGAATAAAAAAATATTGTCATACAATTTCTTTAAACATTTTTTCTTTGATTTAGTACAACAATTTCTCAGTCAATAAACTAGTATTTATTCCTAACCAATACATTTATATTAGTTCCCAACCAATACATTTATATTAGTTCCCAACCAATACATTTATATTATTTCCCAAACACTATGTGTTTAGAAACAGATATTAACCAATATTTTAGTTACAATGACAAATACTACATGGTATTTTATTGAAGATTTATAAAAAATAAACATTTCAAAAATTTTTTATTAAAAAAAAAAAACAGAACAAAGCAAACCTTTCCAAAACTATTTCCTGCATGCAACCAACCAGTATAAACAATTTCAACTGTGTCACCTTTTCGTATCTCTTGATCCTCCAAAAAATTTAAATCTTGAGTGATTAGTTTATTTTCTGACACATTATAGCGAGCTAATCCAATCTAACAATAAAAAATGAAAATAAAATTGTTATACTACTTCAAAAAGCAAGCAACAGATTAGAGGTACGTGATTACATAGAAGACAATAAAACAGATTACATAGAAGACAATAAAACAGATTACATAGAAGACAATAAAACAGATTACATAGAAGACAATAAAACAGATTACATAGAAGACAATAAAACAGATTACATAGAAGACAATAAAACAGATTACACCATGCAGTTGTAATGTAATGACAGAGCTTCGATATGCAAGCTAGAGCTACAGAGCTCCAACCTAACCACATCATATTTATATATTTATATATATAAATGCATGAAATTTTGACTAAATTAGCATGAAGCACTTGGGTATGAAAAGCTAGATGCACATCTAGCTGTTCATACCCAAGTATGACACTGAACTTTTCAAAGAAATATGGGAGCTAAAATCGAAACATATAAATCCTGTGATTACATGGAAGATAATAGCACAATGTACAATCAAGCAATCAATGCCCTACAATCAAGCATCAAAAGTTTGTAATCTTTGTCTCCGCGAGAAGTTTCACATATTATCATATAAAGGAGAAAACTGCCGGCATTCAAAAAAATTTTTACTATCCTTATTTGATACCGGGGACTAAAACCTTTGACGTCTTTTTGTTTTGTTTTGTTTTGTTTGGTAACGTCAGAACTCGTTCCACCGTAATTTTAATTTGTAATTTTTAAACGGTTTTTAAGTGACGAAATACACAATGGCTGATGATTGCCGAAAGGCATGAAACTCAGAGTTCCATCAAAAGTTGTTTTTATTCATTTAATATAAATAAATAAATATTGCTCTTTATTATTTAATAGTAATGAGCACTCTTAAACGCACAAGAGTATTTGTATTATTATTATTATACCATAATAATACATTTTCTATTTTGTATAAATTTGTTCCTACAAGTTGAGCACTTTTCTCAAGTCGTCAACAAAAATGGAAAAAATAAACTTGAAATATTCAATCAAAAATATACCGATTCCATCTGAAAAAGAATATAAATTAAAACTACTAAACAAAACAGAAATGCTCGTAAAGAAAATGAGATGGAAGGCGTTCTTTTTCATAAATAACTACCCAAGAAATGATTCAAACTATACAGACTATGGAATCAAATCATCAAAATGCCCACCACAAATAAATGAAATGCGTTCTTTCGAAAAAGACCTTATAAACTTAATTAAATCAATAAAATTTTGCAACGTAAACTGTAAGTTTCAAAATAATATGCAAAAAGACTTAAAATCCATACGTACGTCGCATAAAACATTAATAAAGGCAGACAAAACATCTAATTTATATAAATTATCTAAAGATGAATACAACAAACTGTTAATAAACGCAATTACTTCTACCTACAAAAAAGTCAATGCCAGAATTAAAAGATCAAATAATTAAGGAAGGAAAAAACCTTTTAATCCACCATGAAGTGTATAACAATATTGAGATAAACGGATCGTCCGGCTGTTTTTTTACATTAAAAGACCATAAGGATAATTTTATTAACAACCCTTCAGTTTGCCTTTTAAACACTTCGAAAAACGAGGTAGGAAGAATTAGTAAAGTTATTTTATCTAAAATTATTCACGAATTAAAAAATAAACTACAGTTGAATCAATGGCAAAGCGCCCATTTTGTTATCGATTGGTTTAAAAAAATCAAAAATAAACACCTTTGCAAATTTCTAATTTTTAATATAAATGATTTTTACCCATCTATTAGTGAAAACATTCTTACCAACGCAATCAGTTTCGCCGAACAACATGTTATTATAAAAAATGACGATAAAAAAATAATATATCATGCAAGAAAATCTTTAATTTTTAATAACGACGAAGCTTGGATAAAGAAAAGAGGCGGATTATTTGATGTCACAATAAGAGCATTTGATGGAGCTGAAGTTTGTGAACTAGTTGGTATTTTTATGTTGTTTCAGCTCTCTCAACATTACGATAAAAATAATTTTGGCTTGTATCGTGACGACGGGCTTGCTATTTTTGAAAACAAAAGCGGCCAGCAAATGGAAAAAATCAAAAAGCATTTTACACATATTTTTAAAAGTAACAACCTACTTATCTCCATCCAATGTAATATTAAAATTGTCAATTTTCTTGATGTAACATTGAACCTGATTGACAGTTCTTATCAACCGTATTGTAAACCAAATAACCAACTTATGTATGTTCATTCAGAGTCAAACCATCCACCTAATATAATAAAAGAAATCCCTCGCACTATTGAGTTAAGATTATCGAATATGGCAGTAAATGAAACTGTGTTCAATAACTCAATTATTCCGTATGAAGAGGCTTTACGTAAATCTGGATACAATTCAAAACTCACCTACCAACCGCAAATAAACAAAAATCAAAAAAGACATCGCAAATGTAAAATTATATGGTACAACCCCCCGTTTAGCAAAAATGTTGAAACTAAAATTGGAAATCGCTTTTTAGCTTTAATTGACCAACACTTTCCAGTAGGACACAGGCTTCATAAAATTTTTAATCGAAACTATGTTAAAGTAGGCTATAGTTGCATGCCTAATGTCAAGTCTTTAATAAATACGCATAATAACGAAATTTTACATAGCGATAAAAATAAAACATCAAAAAAATGTAACTGCATAGACAAAAATATTTGTCCGTTAAATAACCAATGCCTTTTTAGCAATATCGTATACCAAGCCACTGTAAGTTCTGGTGATCCTCAATGCAAAGATAAAGTTTATTTCGGTATAAGTGAAACCACATTTAAATTAAGATATGCCAACCATCTTAAATCTTTCAATGCACCCAAATATAAAAATGACACTGAACTTTCCAAAGAAATATGGGAGCTAAAATCGAAACATATAAATCCTGTGATTACATGGAAGATAATAGCACAATGTAAGCCCTACAATCAAGCATCAAAAGTTTGTAATCTTTGTCTCCGCGAGAAGTTTCACATATTATCATATAAAGGAGAAACTTACTTAATAAAAGATATGAAATAATATCAAAGTGCCGGCATTCAAAAAAATTTTTACTATCCTTATTTGATACCGGGGACTAAAACCTTTGACGTCTTTTTGTTTTGTTTTGTTTTGTTTGGTAACGTCAGAACTCGTTCCACCGTAATTTTAATTTGTAATTTTTAAACGGTTTTTAAGTGACGAAATACACAATGGCTGATGATTGCCGAAAGGCATGAAACTCAGAGTTCCATCAAAAGTTGTTTTTATTCATTTAATATAAATATATATATATATATATATATATATATATATATATATATATATATATATACTCTTGCATGTCTCTTGCGTAGCATCAAAAAATATTTCCCATAAACTGTAGTTTTAAAGAGCGCGTTAATAAACCAGACCAGAAAAAGTTTTAAAAATTAATTTTTTTTTTTTAATTGATAGACTGCCTGGCCAAACCAAACCCTCAGTCGATGTAGCAGCACTCTCTTGCGAATCAGGCTATTTGTCAGTCGTTGTAGCAGCACTCCCTTGCGAGTCAGGCTATTTGTCAGTCGATGTAGCAGCATTCCCTTGCGAGTCAGGCTATTTGTCAGTCGATGTAGCAGCACTCCGTTGCGAGTCAGGCTATTTGTCAGTCGATGTAGCAGCACTTTGTTGCGAGTCAGGCTATTTGTCAGTCGATGTAGCAGCACTCCCTTGCGAGTCAGGCTATAAGATAGTCGATGTAGCAACATTTACGCATGTTTAAAAAATGTTTTTTATTAAATCAATAACAAAAACACCACTAATTAAAAAAAACTTTCTAGTCGTTATAATTGCGGTTTTTTAAAAATTTTTTAAAAAACAATTAAATTTAATGTACTTCCGCATAAATTAATTGCTTTGACATTTCGATGACAATCAAAAACAGCTTAAGAGACGAGGTAATTAAAATTGTAGTCGTAAGAGACTTTTTTTACATTAAAATGCTCTTAAAGCGACACTATATGAGTATATATATATATATATATATATATATATATATATATATATATATATATATATATATATATATATATATATATATATATGTATATATATATATATATATATATATATATATATATATATATTGTTCAAGTGACATCGTTAATAATATAGTTTATATTTGATTAAAAACATCATGTTAGGTTATATATTATATTTTATATTAAATGGTGATATTTTGGCTTATATAGTATAAGCCATTATCAAACTGAAAAAGGGGCCATCCATGAAGGATGTCATCCAAATAGGGGATGGAAGAGGGTCAAGATAAAAAGGACAAAAATGTACAAGGGGAGGGGGAAGGTTGTCAGAAAAGGACGCCACTTTATAGACTTTTTATTTTAGTTTAAACTATGTAAACATGTGTTTTTAAGAAGATAATGTATAAAAATATTTTTATTATTTTTTTCAAAGGTGTAGCAACAGACTTAAACATAATTGCGAGATAAAATAAATTTTTTTGAGGTTAAAAATAGGGAAGAGGGGTCAGGATTTTATGACGCCCATTTTAAAGGGGGTGCACAGTGGGCCAGTAGGTGGACAAAACTAAAAAAATTTATGTCTGAAAACTGAAATTCTTTTTAAAAAGTTTTTACTTAGATACATTGAGGACCTTAAAAATAATTACAATAAATTAAAAAAATATATATTCTCAACAAAAACTCATTTCAAGTAAAATTTTTGAAAAAAAAAAATGGCGATAAAGTGAGAAAATGTAGTTTTTAAAAAAGCAAAAGTGTGTAATAAATTTTTAGTATATTGGTTAACTGTTTTTATTAACATATCAAATAATTGTTAATATATAAAATTTATAAAAAAAAAAAGGTAAAAAAAAATTTTAAACCAGTTTTAGATATATTTCTTGGTAAAAATTGGACTTTTTTTTTAATTTTTTTTTAAAAGACAACAAGGAAAAATTTGTGCTCTATTTTGCCTTTATTTCTTATACATATTTTGAAGGCTATATGTA